TGCACTGCATGTGGTGAAATCATATGTCAATGGCATTTTATATTTCAAGCTTTGTGTGTGTCCTGCAGTATATGAAAAAATTGAATTTATAACTTTCCAATTAAATAACTGTTATCTAAATGTGCTGAATAAAGTGGTTCTATTACCAAATCAAAATTTAAATATTCACTGATTTTATTAGGAATGGTTTACCTTTTTCTACCTTACTGTTTCCAGTTACTTAATTTAGGATTTTAGGTAGCAGAACTAAATACTGTATTTGTCAAAGTGAATGGTAGGGTTTTGCTTAATTTTGTGATGCAGTATTATAAGGATGATTGAAAAAAATAAAAAGTTCGTATTCCTTACATTTGCCCACAATCTTTTATATATCTTAGTACGTTCATTTTTGTGAACAGGAAGAAAAAGCTTTACATTCCAATTGTATGCCGACCCTCCAGAAGATATACCACAGGAGCAGAGTGGGCAAAGATACCATATGTCCCTTTTGGACCCTTTTATGGGTATTTTCAAGATACAATAATCCCATCTTAAATTAGAAAAGCCCAGGTAGCTCATTTATTGTAGCCCATTTTTATGATATCTATGGGGTCTAACACAGCACAGATTACCCAAAGCTACAAGTCAGATCCCAACTTCACCATTGAAATATACCTGCAGGCCCTATGGGAACCAGCACAGGGCTATTTATGGAGTTCCACATCTGAGAAATTCAGGCCACTAACTGGCCATTACATTAAAGCCCTTAGGACATTTATACATGTGTTCTGAGCAGGTTGGGGGGGGGGGGCGCGCATTCTAATTAGAGTGACTCCAAAAGTTGCTCAAATTAAAGTGGCCAGAGCAACACATATATCAGCATCCCCACGCTGAAAAATGGTGGCAAGGGCACTTTAACTAAAGTTCACTGAATGAGTTTCAGTTAAAGTGCCCTTGCCACCATTTTTCAGCACAGGGACACTGATACAAGTGACACTAAAGTCTGTTGAAGCACTATACTTACCACACTCCACCAGCCTCGATTAATCAAATCTGTAATTACTGACCTACTGTACATGTATGGGTGCCCTTACATACCATCAAAGTAACTCAGAGTGACTAGAGTGGATGATAGGGATCTGCTCCAGTGCTTTTATATAATTCATAACACACTACAGTGAAACTCATTTTTTTTAGTTCAGGAGAACAGTTCACATTCTTGTCTGTCAATACATGGCCTACTACAGTTTCTCCCACATAACTTTTGCTTAGGTGAATCAATAGGTTCTGCTGTCTTAAGTAGCCAGTATAATAAATATTCAGGTGCAGGTGCCCTCACAATTGAACAAATACCAGTTTTACACACATAGCACTTAATACACTTCAAACTCTTATGTGCTTAATTTTTAGCATATGCTTTAGTCATCAGCGGGCACGTCTACATGAGATGCAAACTGCACAGTAGCTGAATAATACTGCGCACTAGCACATCACATCACAAACAGTGCTAATACACTTCAGCATAGTATTATTAGGTTACTGCATATTAGCGTGACTAAAAAGGTGTTCGTTGGCACTACTGTGCAGTGACTGTAGTTACTGTGTATTTATTTAGTACTTGATTATACAAATACTAAACAAATGTGCAGTAACCACTGTGCAGGAGCATCTCATGTAGATGCACCCAGTGGGATTTAAAGCTTACCACTGATTTAAGTGCCCTGTATAAATATGGACGCTTTTCTGACTTGGGGTCATAATTCAAGTTATTTTCTTTTTAACTTTGTCCTTTAACTACTAAATGACAAATTTTGCAATTAGCATCTATTTAAATTTACAACTTTTAAATAATCAGCCACAGGGCTCCCCTATTTTTCCCTGAATGAAATACAAGACTTTTGAGAATTAGAAGAAAATGATATAATCAAAATTATATCTAAGGACAGAGTTCAGCCAGAGTTTATTCATAATAAAATTGATATTTATTCATCAATATATGCATAATAAACTTGATTTACATGTGCAACCATTGCACAGGCAAAATTTCTACTGACATGAAGAGGAATACTAATTATACCAGGACAACAGAGCTCAGCTGTATGGATCAGGCTGTGCCCAGCACTTACATGCATACTCAAGGAAAAAAGAGGATGATTGGAATATGGATTGTCACTATGCAATCCCTACACAGGTGTCAGAAACAAAAATCAGGCTTTATGCCATGGGAGTAAAAGAACTCTTCAGATCTAGTACCAATGCCAAAAACAGTGCCAAAATAGGCAAAGAAGATATGGTCCTAAGGCTGCCTCCCACCTAGACTGGTTAAGGTGGGTACAAAGATGACATACCTCTCCAAAGGTGGAAGAGGTGGCCATATTCTGTTAAACTGTGTAAAAATTCGGTGACTGGAAAGCATTATATAGTCCAAAGTATTTTCTTTGTAAAAGAACAAATACTTTCCTACATTTTAGCTATACATTTCTTCCTCATTAGGACACCTCTTTAAAATATTTTTTAGTATGATTAGATGTATGCAGAAAATCACAAAAAAAACTTGCATCACATAGCATTGAGTATACAAATTCCAGAAACCCCATCAACTTCAGACTTCTTGATAGTGATGGTAGTGCTGTTCTACAACTTTGCTAAAGTCACTGGCATGATTCATAATATCAGTGTTGCTCTTTTCCTAAGTTGGCTCAAGATGCTACTGTGACTCCATCTCAGTCTGTTTCATTGTTTACATGTGCTATATCAATTTATAGAGCCCAACCCCGTTTGCTTCAATTTTGCAAATTGTGCTGGATTTAATCCAACTTATGCATGATTACTGGTACCATTTGAATCTTACAACTTGCCCAAAGAAAACTGCATTACATACATTAAACAAAATACATTACAGATCTCAAGCACTTAGGGCTGAATCTTGCAATACTTGCTGGCAGACATGGTGCTTACTACTATGAGTAGTCCTAGTGAAATCAATGCCAGTATTACACTCGCTGTGGAAAGCCCTGTTCCCAATGGTAAGTGACAGCAGAACTGGGCCCAGAGATTGCGCATTTTGAACTATCAATTTATCATTTAAATTATTTAATTAGTCTTCTATTATAATAGTATTATTCTAATTTAGGGCATTGTAAATAACTGTATACTGTATTTTTATTTTTAAAGTTATTTTATGTTTCCTATATTTATTCCTTTGTTTTAAAAAGTTGGAAAAGCTATCACTTTGTTTTGAGAGCATTATAAGAAATAGCATCTGCACAACATACTTGTTTCATTTCACTTAAAGAAATGCCTAGCATAGAAAAAGAACATATCTAGACAGCATGGAGTGTTTAACTTCTGTCTATCAATCACTACCATGACCCATTAACCTGGGTACAATATTGTATTAATTTGTATATTATACAAGCCACAAAATAAATGGAACTAATATAGGTACTTATTTTCTATAATCAGAAAAAACACATGTATACTCACCTACAGAGATTTACAGGACTTGTCATTTCCAGTGCAAAGAATAGCAAGACACTGAAACCAACTCAAAAAAAACAAACTTCACAAATCCATCCAGTGAAACTGGGTTATAAATGGATAATCATTCTACTGAAGTGAACTTCATCCTGGTAAAATGATGATGTTACAAAGAAATACGTATCACTTTTTAATAAGTGATGCTTATCTTTTAAATTCAACAGATTACCTGACATATTGCTTGCTAAAGAGCCTATTCAATTGCAGTACCAAAGGCAATTGTACAAATCTATTTTGATTTTGGCTAACATTCCTGTAATTAAATGAAAAATGAATTGTGCTGTGCCAACTCCCATATCACATAACTTTGGTGAACTGTGTTGGTGTCTGTTGTTTATTTCCCTAAAAACTTTAAGGAAGTAAGAGTAGTAAAACATAAAATGTTAAAATATAATTCAAATGAGCATAATTTTGACAGGAATATTGCAATCCCTACTATAAAAAAATATCACAAGCAGTATATCAAAATACAGTGACCTGGGCCCTGGCATATACAGATGTATTGGCAGTAGAATCTCAAACAAGTCGACCTTTCTTGCATTTTATTTATAAGATTTCCGTTTCTTCAAGCCTCCTTGCTTTCCTGCAGTAGAACACAGCTAATGATTCGTTTAAGTTTTAATTCAAACTCTTTTGAACTAAATCTGCTTTGCTGTGCTATTTCTAGGGTTGTGCATCTGTGGTACTGTGGACCTCCTCCTCCTATTCAAAAAGTGTTAATTGCCATAAATGCTTGGGAAAATGTTTTTCTCACCTGCAGCAAGATGACACTTAAAAATCAAAGCCCTGATGCACATTGCCTGAGATATGACTGCCTAAAGTTGACTATTTTCAAGCAGATAGGGCCAACAACCCAATTCCCCTCAACTAAATCCAGATACCCTAACAGTACCGCTGCTATTACCTAGCCCGCTCTGCAAGTTTTACACCTGCTGTGGGTTGATGACCTCTCTGGAGAAGGTCCACTTCCTTCATTTTATAGACTCATTGCCCTGGCACGGTTCATTTCTTCTGGTAAGTGAGGGTAGCAACTATGCAAGAGGGTGTGAAGGGAAGCTGTGGCTTCTCCCCCCCCCCAAGCATCCAATAGCTTCTTTGTCATTAAACATTGGATCAGAGGTAAAAATAAATAAATAAATAAATAGCATTCCTGGAAGAGGAGGCTATTGTAATGGGCAGGGGGCCGCAATGATACCATTGTGCCCATTCAAGCCACCCAACAAAACACCCAAGTTCTGCACCAGTGCTAGGCACAGAGCGAGCACAGGTCCCTGCTGACGCAGTGAGGGCAAGAAATTCAAAATTCCTGCATCCCTGTAATGAAAGCCTTGGGCTGGAAACGCAGGCACGCTGGCAACTGGGCGAGCCAGAGCCACCAGTCTGCCTGCCAGGATGAAGACAGCAGGGATGGGGAGGAGGGTGGGAGGAGGATGGAGGTGAATGTCCCCCAGCAGGTGGGCTGGGGGGAATCATGCCCCTACCTCAGCAAGCTGGATAAGGGAATAGCTCCGGATCCACTGCCCAGGATCCCGCCTTTCCTCCCAGACAGGAGTTTCTCCACCAGAGCCACGTTCCCCGTGCGAGCGGCTTCCAGCAGCTCCTGGTCCTTGCCCATGGTGCGGCCGCGCTCCCCGCTCCCCAGCGCGCAGCGGCGAGGGTCGGTGGCGGCCCCCTCCCACCTCCCCTCTTCGAGCCCCGGAGCCGAGGTGGTAGATGCCCGCAGCCCCGGCTGGCCCGGCAGTGGCAGCAGCAGCGGGAGGGAGGAGACGCGCCTCCTCCCAGCTCCAGGAGCCCGCTACTGGGTGGGTGCGGAGGAGAGCGGGGAGGAAATGAGGCCAAGACGAGCCTCCCCCTCCCC